GGTAGCAGCACAAGCCCTAGTCCTAGCCCTCATCAGAGATGAACATGCCGCTGTCCTTCGCACCAAATCTTCATCAATACGATCGCATGCCGCAGCCGAGAATTTTATCTTGAGAGAGAGCCACGGAGCAATTCTTGTGGGCAAAGGACCGAGTAGACGGTGTATATCTGGGGGGAGAAACCGTTCAGCTAGCTCTCGCCAGCCTTTTTGCTTAAGCCGCTTCTTCTTCCTCACAATGCCTTTACATATGACACTTTTTGCTGGAGTAATCTGTGAGTGTCGAAGAGCCGCGTGTGCTAGATGTGCTGCTCGACGATACACCCGCGTTTCTAGCGGTTCCCATCCCACGATACCTGGAAGCTTATCAGTTTTGGTAATTTTTAGACAGCCGGATATCATACGTAGAACGACATTATATCCTGTTTGTAATTTAGATAAATTTCTCTTCGAGCTCACACCCCCATAGAATCCAGGTGAAGCATATAATGCGCTGGACATAATGTACTGGTCCGCTAACTGCTTCGTGCTTCCGAAGCTCGTTCCCCATGATCTAGAACACACGTGGTTTAGTACTTTCAACCGCGCATAAACCCGCTTTTGCCACATATCACAATGTTTAGCGTACGTCAAACCCTCATCGACATACAAACCGAGCATGCGTTGATCAACAGTGCGAGGTACCGGATCAGTGCCTATAAAAAGTTGAACGTTTTTTCTCCGGATACTACAGTTGGTCGAGAAAACAACCAAAGCTGATTTATTAGCATTCAGCTTAATAGATGAAGATGTGAAAAAATCAGCCGCACCATCTAGTTGTTTCTGCATCAACGATAACTTATCATCGAAAACGGAAGTTTTGACGGACATCGTGATGCAAACATCGTCTGCTAAGCAGAAAGTCCGAAAAACAACATCCTCAACATCGCCATCCCATAAGTAAGAAATAAGTGGGGACATGTACGCTAACCAGAGCATAGGACTGCAGGAGCAACCTTGTGGGACACCTCTCCTAATTATCCTTTTCTTGGATTGAGAGCTGCCCCACAGAGTATGTACAGCTCTATTCTTAATGAAGTTCCGCAGCCAGCACCATAATCGAGGGGGTACAGCAACACCACCGAGCCTTGATAGGAGTATGTCATGCCTCACAAAATCATATGCAGATGTCGCATCCAAGAAGATAGTAACCACAGCTCGATCTTTCTGGATTTCGTCTTCCAGATACTGAGCGAAGGCACACGTCTGCTGCTCGGCAGACATTCCCCTTCGGAAGCCCGACTGTTCAGGTTGGATGGATCGAGAGCAACTCTCGAGGTAGTGCGTAATCCTCCTCGTCACCAGCTTATCCGCAACACGAGCCATTGCGTTCGTCAAAGCTATAGGTCTGAACGCCCCAGGTTTCGATTTCGGTATAGGGCACAACCTCGAAGATGTCCACTGTCTCGGCATACCATGCCCCAACCAAGTTTTATTCATAATATCCAGGAACAGTTCAAGGGCTTCGTCAGGAAGATGCTGAAGGCACTGCATAGGAATACCATCGCTGCCACCGGCTTTGTTCAATGACATAGTTCTCAGAGTGAAGGTCACCTCTCCCATAGAGAATACTTTATCATATTCTTCTCTCACCGAGTTATCGACGAACGTCCAGCATTCTTCTTCGAGCACCAGCCACTCGGGTTCATCCCCATTTAGCCAGTCTACGCGGCAGTGAGTCCTACCGGTACTGCGATCCACATGAGTAATTACCGCGTCAAACCAACAAACAGAACCCTCGTCCGATCCCACGGATATCCTCACAACTGACCCCCGCTCGATTTCCTGCCCACTCCTACTACTCCTAGACAACTCGGCCTTCACTCTATCTCGAATTCTTCTGTACGCTCTCCTCTCCTCCACACGGTCAATATAGTGCTCGGATCTCGTATTGTAGTTATTGAAAGCTTCCGCCTTAGCCTGCTCGTCAACGTAGGTAACAGTTCCGCTGCCCACCACCTTCGGTAGGATGAGAGGGAATTGGTGCTTTGTTGTTGACCGCGCCCCATCTAAAGCCCTCACTACCTTCCAGACAGCACTGTCCGGTACAGCTGGACTCAAGTGAGAGCAAAAATCCTCCCAATTCTTCCGCCAATTCAGGCCCGTTCATTACTACACCAGAAAGATGACTAGCATTATCCTGACGGCCAACTCATTCCCCGTGAGATCTCTTTTGATACTGCAGCTGCAACCCGGTCTATGAGTTCACTCTACCAACTCAAGATCAACTTTCCCATCTGCGATGGAAACCGTCAAGTCTCAACATTCACATGGTCACCGTCTATCATCAACGATGGACTACTACTTCATTCCGATGGACTCCTCGGTATGGATACTCTTTTCATCAATGCCGACGGTCTGCTCATCAACTTCAATGGTTGATTGGTTCAAGCTTCAAAATTTCTTTGTAGCTCTCATTCATTGGATAAAAATCGATCATCAGGCATCACGTCTCCGACATCAACTACGAGTCCAATCGGTTCATCATTGTCAGACCTATATACTTGCCCAACAGCCACTGCTACTCAAGGTCCTAACCGGTCAACATTCGACTGCGCGACCTCCACTACATCTGATCTATCTACGCCTACTTCATCAACGGCATCATCAGATGAATCTATCGAAGGCCATCATATCGCTGCTCTCAAAGGCAAGGCCTCTAAACAAAACTCGGATGACGTTATCTCCTATGACGTCGATTCACTGGGCTACACACCACCTAAATTCCCTGAACCACCCGAAGGCGACAAGCTACTCGAGACCATCTACAACAACGAATGGTGTATTATTGGTAAATTACCAATGGTAATAGTAAAAAGAAAGGATACCAATTTGGTATCCTTTCTAATAAAAATGGTAACAGAGAGTATTTTGT